ACAGTGCATCTTGTGGGTGTCACAGGTGTACACGCTGGCATTTGAAGCAGAGCAAAGGCGGCATCAGCATTTGAATAATTCTTTCTCAGATCCGCGGTTTCCTCGGCGGAGCGTGTAAATGTTACTGTTATTAGCGGGGCAGGAAATTCTCCAAAAAATGATGCATTTGACCACCTGCTGTCCCGTAATGGCTCCGAAACTGCCTCGTTTCCGGGGGCGGTCGGGCTCGTTTGGCTCTTCGGAGCACCGGGGATGAATCGCTCCGCTTGACCAATTAGCATTCCATTCATAAATCTTGCCATTGGCATTTTTAAATCTTTAATGGCTCTTAATTTTTCATCTTGTCTTGAGGATGTTCTTGTTTCCTTGTTGCTTGCTCGCTCCAGCATTGTTGTGGGGAGATTAAAGAAGGCGTAATAGTCGTTCAATGCTATTAATATGCAGGGGAGATGGGAGGTGAACGGTTGCGGATAGTTGCTACCAGCGAACACCTTTTACATCCATTAGAATGTCTGTGTTGTGTTTTTTTTTTTGGAGTGTGTATTGGGATTGTCTGCATGGAAGAACATTTATCACACCAATTAAAGACTCTAGCCTCAAGTCATGTAAGAATTGGCCTCTAGTTTAGTCTAGCATTGGCTCTGATTCATTTACATGATTAATTCTTCCTGTAGATAAAAGGAAACAGCAACAAAAGCGAGCTAACAACACATCCAGTGTCGTTACACATTCAGGTGTTGCCGCTACTCGCTGGCAGTCCATGTCCAAAAGCAGAACTTGTTCACGAATCGGGGAAAAAAAAGAGTCATGAAATCGCTCAATAGGAAGATGATTATGAAATTTTCAGTTCGAATGGAAAAGAGAAAGCGCTTCATGCTTCTTCCCCGCGCGGTCCCACTGGATTGTGTGATTTGTTTTTCAGCGCTGAACTCCCTTTGATCTTTCTTCACTCATACCATTTACCAAATCACCATGTCAAACAACAGCGGTCCCAGGCCGGCTTAGTTTCTTCTCACTAAATCGATGATTTGGGCTCCCCAGGCCATGGTGGAGACGGTCAACAATCTGCTGCAGCCGCAGGCCCAGGCGGCGTGGAGGGAGCTGAGCACCGGCGAGCAGCTGAGGGCCGCCACCATGCTGCTGGACACGGTGGAGCAGGGCGCCTTCGTCCTGGCCGACAACCTGCTCAAGACGGACATTGTGCAGGAGAACACCGACAACATCCGTGAGTACACGTCTTGACGCTTTGCTGTGCATCTAAAGATATGAACAGATCCCCTCCGGACATGTTTGAAATCCATACGGTGGAGCCCAGAACTATGAATTATAGTTGATGCTTACTTGATCAATACATACAGGACATAAATGATTGAGGAAAGAGGTGCGGAAGGTGCTAATTGTATATATTTTATTGTTTATTAAAATGCCAAAATTATTCATACACTCTGTTAGTAATCAGCAGCAGAACCTTTAATTGCCAATAAATCAATCAAACTGTAATAATTTCTAAGAAGCTTTTTTGGGTTTTGGACCACTTCTTTGATCTCCAAGTCTTAGAGTTTGGAAGGCTTCCCACCAATATCAGTATTGTTGTTTTTATTCAATTAAGCGTGTCCTGATCAAGTTTAATTCATTGGCTTCTTATGTTTAGCATCTACAACATCCAGTAAAACCTCCAGAGATCATGTGCACTTTAAATATTGTAGATTAGCTCTAGTACCTGTTGCATTTCCATGTTGGCTTGCAGGTTGTTTCCCATGATTGGCCTTGACCCTGATCTTGGATTCAGGACATCTCGATGTTTAACCAGTTCTCGATTGCTCTGGCTCTGGTTTTTTTGGATCCCTGTCTTACTGGATGGGTCCAGGTTTTCTGCAGATACCCTGAAATTTTCCTCCACTATCTAAACAAAGTCCTTTTTGTCCTCACAATGCCCTTTGGTTGGACCGGGCCGCCTGGTCCATCGGCTCAAAAACACCCCCAAAGCGTGGCGTTCCCACCACCACCATGCTGGACCATGGGGACGAGCACTCCTCCTGTTACCTGCCAAATAAAAACCACAACAACTCCATTTTTGTCTCGTCCGACCGGCAGCTTTTTTCTTTGTCCAGGCGGATTTCTGCAGTTGCTAGAGGAGCTTCTGTGCGTCTGTCTCGGAGAGTTTGATGATACTGCGGCCAGTAATACTTGAAAACACTTGGCTTTTTTAGCCTTTCTCCGTCTTGTGAACAGCTTCAATTTGCTGTCTCAGGAGACAAAGTCGCAAGCTCATGGGGCTCTTTGGTTTTGAGATGCAGTCGACTCGTAACTACCGTAATTTTCGGACGATTGGGCGCACCTGAATATAAGCCGCACCCGCTAACTTTTGAAAGAAAACAAGGCCGCACCTGTCTATAAGCTGCAGGTGTCCACGTTGTAAGATGAGATATACGTACCGGTGACATACGCAAATATATAAATGCTTCTTTCCAAACAGTGCCTGTAACACGGCCGGTTAAAAATACCCTACCAGGAAAAGCCATTGATCACTGTCTTCATCTTACTCCTGCGCACTAAAACCACTAAAGTCGTCTTCTTCAGTGTCACAGTTGAACAGCCTCAGAATAACTTCGTCGCACACTTCCTGTCTTTCGTTGTCGCTCTCGATGTCACTTTCGTCTCAAGGCAAAATCGTCAAAATATCCGTAAATTAGTCGCGTCATTGTTCAAGCCGCAGTGTTCAAAGCTTGTGGAAAGAGTAGCGGCTTATAGTCCAGACATTACGGTAACTGGAGACCTACTGCATTGGCTGTTCTCAGCTTTATAGTCTATTAGCTCATTCTGAAACATAAAGATAATTCAGAACGGACGGTTGCAATTTCAATACCATCGATCACAGCAATGTCTTTTATCACTTGTTGATGTCATTTCCAGCCAGAAGAAACCAACTGATCAAATGAAACCTCACCGTTAATCAAAGTTTGGCATGCATATGAATAACTTTGGGCCTGAGTGTATCAAATATCAAGCCTGGAATGGTAATTTATGCCTTTTATGGTTTTTCCCATTCCCACAGCATCGCGTTCCGGGACCCATTCGGTCCAATGAAAGTTGCTCACTTGGCAGAAACACCGTGTGCGACACCGTGTTGTCGACTTTTACAACTTTTTTGGGGTCACGTGACGCCGCAATTCATCAAAATTGCCCCACAGCTCGGCACTGTTCTCCACAAAGAGGTTTAATTACCCCCGTTAAAACGCGTTGTCGCTTCATTGAGGAAAAAAAAAATCCAGATTATTTAAACGTGCGAATGCTTCTCGATTCAAAGATCCCTAAAAAGCACCAGGTGGATGCATCACAACTGTGTAGGACGCGTACCGGAGCGTGATTTGCCTTTGAAAAAATCACAAAACCAGCTCGCAGGTAAAGTATTAAAGGCAAGAGAAAGTTTTTTTTTTATTCACCTCTCGTATTCAGCAGCCGAATGCAAAAAAGCAGTCTTCTGGTGTCAAACTATTCATGTGAAGTGCCAATAATCAAACCCCGTTTCTGAGCGGAGGAGGTCTCTGGATATCTGGATTTCGCTTTTTATTGTCTCAGCGATGAAAGCCATGAAAATTGTACGCCGGCAAGCAAATTGCATTTAATTTGGTCGCCTTTGTTTGCGCGCGTAAACCGGCTTGGACAGAATTATCTTCTCAAGCTGCTCAGAAACAGATTATTAGCTCATCTGGAAGACTCGGCGTTGCCAATTACCATCGACGATTAGAAGATAAATCTAAATAGCTGGATGTTCGCTGCTGCTGCGATTCGCTTTTTGGTGTTTTTTCTTCTTCTTCCTCCTCCTGTGCATGTGAAAGCCTTTAAACCGGCGCTGCTGCTTCTCGTACCGGGGCGGGTCACAAAGTTCACGGTGCAGCTATTGATCCGGGGTACTGCGGTATCGACAGGCGAGCTCTCGAGGCGGCGGATCAAGTGTGAAGGTCACCGGGGCGATGCTTATTTTTTTTCTTGCGGGAGGTTAAGTCTGACGGTAGGCCGGCTGTAAATTGACAATTATCTCAAATAACTGTGTTTATATTGGTGTCAGTTATTAGGCAGAATTAAACCACTAGTCGTGCAGATCAGGGGGATCAGCGCTCGTTATTCAGCGTATAAACACCACAGATGATGGAGCTACCGTCAGTCCCATTCTGCCCCCGGTGGGGCAACTCCAAGCTGAGAAATTTAGAATTAATAAATCTGCATTTTTTCTTTTTAGCGGCTAGCGGGGCAAAGGGTGGGATTAGGGGGGTCAGGATGTATCGCCCTCGTCTCTCCCTCTCTCTCTCTCTCAACTTCCTGCTGCCATGGCAACCTAAAAATATAGGTCTGCCGACTTAAAAGGAAGCGAGCGTAAGGAGAATTAATAAAATGGGTTTTATTGTATCTGGCACACAATTCATCGGGGTATTAAGGAGATTCTGGGCTCGTTTGGAGAGAGAGGGGAGACGAGTGAGGTTTTATAGCGCATACTGGTAGTCTGGTTAATTATGTGCTGGTGACATGTTTACTAGGCCTTATCTCTCCGTTTCCTTTTTTTTTTTTTTTTGCCGCCAGTTGGCTCCTGCAATCCCTCACGCCACGCCGGGGTAGTTAAATGACGTCTTTTAAACATTGGTAATCACTGCGGCGGCTAATTATCGATCCCCCTCGCTTGCATGTTCGAGGACGCTTCCTCGACTATTGTGTCTGTTTGCGTCGCTTCGTCTCGTGCTTGGCGTGATAATCTCGCCAACAGATTCCTGCCGATTAGCGCGTTATTTAAACCGCCTTTGAAGGTATAGCCGTCGGGTCCGACAACTCCTATGGCATCAAAGAAATTCCCCAAAGCCCGTCGTAAGCTCTTTTACACGATCGCACGAGGAAAAGCAGAGAGGGAGAGAGGGGGAAGAAAAATGCTTCCTTTATTCAAAAGGCAGGCTTGGAATCCAGGGAATGGCGAGCTATCTGGGGTATTGTCTTTGCTAAGTTGAATAGGAATGTATCAAACCCCCTCTGGCCTTTAGAAAAAGCACAAGAGAATGTTAATACAAAAGATTTTTTTTTTTTAGGAGAACCGATGGGAAGCCCGGGTATGAGAACAGATACAAAGGGAGGATTAGATGTGCCCTCTCCGTAGCTCTTGGTTGGCACTAACCTTTATCAAAGTCAGATGTGTCACAGTCCACCGGCATCAGATCGTCAGCTGAATGCGTTATCAGGCTTAATTAAGTTTCTGTTTCTTGCACTTGATCAAGTTGAGATTCTCCACCCCGGACTAATCTGTCAGGTGCTGCAGAGGAACTGCCGGCGAAGGCGGACATGTTTGGTCGAGATGCAACTTTGAGAAGAAAAATGTAGTCAGACGTGATCCGACAGCGATAAAAAAAAAAACGAGCGACTGCTAGAAGTTTACATCATGTAGAACATGAGCGGCTGGTGGGCGGTGGAGGCCACCGGCGTCACCGCCAAGGTGTCGCAGCGTGAATATGACTAAATCATGGCAAGGAGCCGGTGATTATGCAGAAATCAGCTTTTTCTTAAACAAACTAAATATAGAGCGTTGAAGCTTCAGAGGCTCCGGTAGGTGGGTTTTATGCCTTTAGTCGGAGCCACAGCAGCTGTTCCTCTGATTTCTAAACTCTACTGAGCTAACCTCTACTAGTGGTGCTGCTGTGTTATCATTAGTATTATTGAAGTGAAGACAGTCTCACAAGTGGTTTCTTTAAAATGATGTGAACATCTGGACCGCATAGAATGTTTTAATGGCAAGTCTGTGATGCTGCGTTGTAAAGAAAAAGTCTGAACAGAAAAGAAATATGTTGCTTTAGTGTTTAAAAACCGTGAAAATGTCGTCAGATGTCTGGAAAAGATTATGAATTTTAGCAGATTTAAATACAGCAAAAGAAAAATATAGTCAGAAGTCATACCTTTGTCGTTTTGACTATTTTCTTTTAGAGTCATCACAGAAATTAATCAATTTTTCTGTGATTTTGCTAGATATGATCAAAAAATCAACAAAAAACAAAACAGGGAATATCTGTAAAAGAGTTAAATTATTCAGAATTAAATGATTAATTCTTAAAATACATATTTTTTTATGTTTAATTACTCTAAATACCTGTGAAACAAGTATACTTCTGATGATTTAAATAAAGTGAAAATAGTTTAATTTTACAGTCAAACATTACTGATTGTACTGTTTTCGATGTGAATGATTTTTACAGTTTTGACCAGATTTTTTTATAAAAAAATTTGACAGTCACATGTAAATTAATGCTTTCTTTCATTTTGATTTTAGCTGATATGATTCATATTTTACCAAAACAGGGGGGGGAAAAATTCTAATAACATTATTTACCAATTATGACTAAATTACAGCAAATAAAAATCTGTTGTTGTATTTATTAGAATAAATACATTTTTAGCATTTTTTCCAGTCAAACATTGTAGAAATAATCATTTTTATTGGTAATATATTAACAATCTTTTTGTTTTGTTTTGTTTTTAAAGAATGTACATGTAAATTAACACTTTTATCTGTGATTTTACTCGTTATAATCTGTAATTTACCCAAACAGGGGACATCTGTAAACTTCTATTAATTTTTTAAACAAACAACACTTAAAAGCACTGATTTTTTTCCAGTGTATTCAGCAGAGATCAGGTCTTGTTGATGTATTTGTCTAGAAAAGCGACGCACTAGTGGCTAAAACATCTAATCCTTTAGCATTACCGCATTAAAACAAGTAATACGTCACTGCTTGTCTACTTACACCCACCATTTGGATTAAGTCGTGCTGCTTCTCTTCGGAATGTGACATTTGTTCAACTTCTTTTCTGTACTTCCACCTCAGAGTGGCTTCATCCGAGTGCTCTGGGACTTAAACTGACATTTAGGAATTCCTAGACGTCACGCAGGTCAGCGGTACTTGAGATTACGGCGCGCTGGCCTACTTTATTAAATTGAATTGTATCATACCGTAATAACTTTGATGGAATGAGCTTTTTATTTCAGCCGGCGCTCCTATCAGCAGCTCATTTTCCTCTGCCGCATGACAGCCGAGTCTTTGAACCATAAATTAGGAGCTCGCTTCAGACGCAACAGCTGTTGAGCTGCTGCAGAAGCGAGCTCATCCTTTCCCTTCGCCGCTCTTTATCTTCCCCTCGCATCTCCGGCTCGCTCTGCCCGGCACGAGGACGCCTCCAAACGAAGACGGGTGTTTTCGGTTCAAGAGAGGACGCCATCACCTGAAGGAGGACGCCAACCTCGAGAGTGGAGAGCGAAGCGGCCCTTCGAGGCGGAGATGCAGTGGTTAATAAGCTCCTACGCAGAGGAGATAAGGGTTGATAGCAAAGAAAACACTGCAACTTAAACAATCAATCAATACTGAGAATGATCAGTTTCTTTAATTAAATACCCAAACCTGCCTTGGTGGCCTGTGTTGGATCCAACAAGACACCAACTGTGATTATCTGCAAGACAAAACAGGCTTCCAGGAGCCTTTTTTCTGAAACTTTACTCGATTTCAGTTGCCAAAAAAAACAAATTAGTCCCTTGTCTGGGTTCCAAAATAACTAAATCCAAGAGTTTTGCAAACCCAGTTTAGTCTTGTCCTGTATTCGCCACTAACCGTTGGGTTTGTTTGCAGAGCTGGAGGTGGCCAGGATGAGCACGGACGGAAACCTGCCCGACCTGAAGTTCCCTCAAACCGGAGGCCAAGGCAACTCCATCCACCTGTCGGCCAACACGCTCAAGCAGCACGGACGGAACGGTAAGAAATCCAAACTGCTTTTATCGTTTTCCTCGTATTGTTGCTGCGTCTTATTCAGGGTTGTGATGAATTTAGCAGACAAAATGCGACAATGGGAATATTGTGTTGCATGAGACACTCTCAGGCGCCTCAGATCTGCTGTAATTTATCATTTCACTTGGGTTTTTTTTGCAGGAATTTTTTATTACACATGCCTGTGAATGGCTTTCAGTTCGACACCCAAATCCTTTGTTGATCTACATACGAGGCGCTCGCCGCCTTCAAATGGGGCCCCGGCCGTAGAATTAGTGGCATTCAAGCGCCACCTCTAAACTGTAAATGAGGCAGTTAGACACAATGCGTAGCGATCTTCGGGCGCGGCGCAGCCCCATCTTTTACACTTTTATTATCGGCTCATGCAAATCGGAGTCGATCTCAAGCTGTGCCCGGCGTCTCGCAGCTGGATGACTAAAGCCCGAGTCCAGCCGGGCCCGGGCGGATCATTATAGCAGGGGTGGCGGATGTTTCCCACCCGTCATCCGGCGCCGCGGCACCCAAATTGTTTTCTTTTCATCTGATTGAGTGATCTCGGTCGCGGCGGGAGCAAACTTTTCTTTCATATCGGTGCTCCGAAGTGAGACGGCGGGAGGTGGCGAAGGGACGAGAGGAGGAAATTATTAACAGGAAAAATGCTCCGACGTGTTTGTGGTGTGGTGTTTTTTTTGAATTAAACTGTTTGTTGATGGAGGAACAGTTCCTTCTCCTTTTTCTTTCCTCGTGTTGGAACTCCGCTGGCAACCTTGACACCCGTCTCATTTTTCTGACGGTGAATTTGCGATTGTTGTGTTAACAAGGTTTCGGCTGAGTTATTATTTGCGGCGTTCTTTTTTGTCGCTATTTCCAGTCTTTTTCTCGCATTCCTGAAATCCGACGGTCCGATCTGTGAGTGAATAGCAGGAAGCTTCACTATAAAGCAGAAAACTGTCACATTCCAAGAGTGTGTCGACGACAGCGTGTGGACGTTGTGTACGTGGTTTCCTCGTGGCGCTCAGGCTTCACACAATGATATTTAATAGTTTGAAGAAGACTCTCTCCTGTGTCAACACGGTAATCTCCGATGAATAAAAGAAAGTCAACAAAGAAGTGGGTTTGTGGAGGTGCTTGGCAGTCAGTGCCGCAGAGACGCTCACTCGGCTGCATCCGTCAGTGGCTTCCAGCTTAAAATAGGTGAGAAGAAGAAGAAGAAGAAGAAGAAGCTGGCAGCCCGTTGCTTTCAATAAATCCATTTTGCTAACTCACACCATAAACATTGTTTATTGTCCCAGACTGGATAATATGATGCGATACGATAAATTTTATTGTCTCCACGGGGAAATTCGTCTCGGACTCGAGTGCTGCACGTGTGGAAAAGCCCAAATTGCACATATTGCACATTCCATCACAAACCGATGTCGCTCCGTTCTCCTTCAAAGATGTGTTTAAAAGAGGCCGATCATTGGAAACCTCAAATACCAGTAAAATGGTCCAGTAAAGTGGCAGCTACAAGTCTGTAGACGCTGTCAGTCAGGTCAGACTAACCCCAAGAACTTCAGTAAAAAGCAGCTGGATTTTTCTTTTTGGTTCTTGAAGACGTTCCACCACTAATCCACGAGGTTGATCGGAAGTCCAGATGTATGTGTGGCCGCCTCAAGGAGCAAAAAGAGTTCTATTCATGTCCTTAACCAACGCCGTGGGGAGTTGTTTTGTCTCGCTTCCTCTTTTAAACATCTCCTGGCTGTATATCCACTCATACTCTTCACACTAATGTCCGGTGCTTCAGTTTGAGTACATCTCTTTGCACTTACTCTGCACGCTCTTATATATTTCCTATATTACTCGCCAGACATTTTCCAATCAATGTTTTTTCGGTCTGCGATCCAATCTGAGTCATTGAGTGTTTACGTTCTGCTGATGCTCGATACATGAGATTATACACTCCTAAAGTATTGTAGGTAGTTGTTTACTGTTTGATACGGTAGCAACCGGAGAAGACGTGTTGGCTAACGGGTAGCATTGTTTAGCTAGTAAAGGAGCCCCATGACAGAGACTTGGATGAAGTTTATTGAAGTCAGGCCACCAACCAAGTGTTGACTTTAACTGGGCTGTTGTCGGACGGATGTAAAGAAAGGATTGGACATAACTTTTTTGGCTAATCTCAATCTGTGGATCAGGTTTTTGACGTCCCTTATCGCAACCTCATAGCAAATTGGCTTCTTGTTGTCTCACTAGAGGACAAAAAATGAATTTAAACAGAGTCTCTTATGGCATGAATTTAGATTTGAGCATTAACACGTTTCTTAGTTGGGGGTGATCGCTTCCTTCGGTCTCGACACAAACACTGGTTCATGTATTAGCTCCAAAAGTCCAACAAGAAAACAAGTGAAGTACCTTTAATAAGGGAGTGGATGAACCCAGTTAGCAACTGCCTATAAAGGACACTTTAAGACCGTGGCTATTTATTTGTTCAGCATCACAGCTGTTTTCCTGTTGATTGGTAAATTCTGTTGTTCCACAAAGATAAGAGCACAAATGTTAGAGCAGTTGTTTCACTCTGCCTGACATATATAAACTGGACATTTGTGCAGTAAACGTGAACGGTTTCAGCAGAATCAGAGCTGTCCGAGTAAAAAGGACAGAAAAATGACTGCAGCCGGAGTCTTGACTGGATGCTGTTACGGCAGCACATAAACGCCCGTCCTCGCAGTGTTGCTGTGTTCAAATTGTCACTTTTTTTCTCCCCCCTCCCCGTAATTGTCTCCTTGCAGGCGAAATCCGAATAGCGTTCGTCCTGTACAAACACATCGGGGTGTACCTGTCGACGGAGAACGCCAGCATGAAGCTGGGCAGCGAAGCCATGGCTACCAATTACTCCGTCATTGTCAACTCTCCGGTTATCACAGCCGCCATCAACAAGGACTCGAACAAAGTCTACCTCTCTGACCCGGTCATTTTCACCATCAGACATCTGCAGGTAATTCTTCCCGTCTGTATGTTTGTGTATCTGAGAGATGCGTTTCCACTCGGCTTTGATGTGAGTGCCTCTGCATCTAATGTGCTCTTTGTCTCCTTCCCTTTGTTTACACAGAAACACACTTGCACATGCACTTTCTTCATCGAGCCTTTCATCATAATTTTCTGTGTCCCCGAAGCATGACAAAAAAAAAAATAATAATCCCGTCTCAAACCAAGAAAATTAAGTGAATATGAAGAAGTTTTATTCCTGGAAAGGTTTGAAAAATTAAATTGCGGAAAAGAAAATTGCTCGCAAGGTGATGTTAGGGACGCACGCTGTTGTTGATTAGTCTGAGCACCAGCCTTGATCTCCTGAATAAACATCCGTCATATTCGGCCTCACTGGAGGCTGCTTAGTCATTGTGGGGAGTCGTGACTTTTCCCTCTTGACTCCATTATCTTCTCCACGCTCCGCTACCCTCGAAATATCCCTGTTTTGTCTACAAACAGCGCCTTCAGCAATTATCAGAGATGTCGAACATCCATAAGAGAATTTGCGGCGGGTCTCGCGTGTAGGAGGGACCTGGAAGAAAAAAAAAAAGCAGCAACGGCGGAAAAAAGACTCAGAGGGATGGAGCGAGTGGAAAAAAAATAAAATACAATAAAAGAAGGGGTGATAGCTTTTGTGGATGTCAAAATTAAACGGTGGGAAAATGTCAGGGGGACAATGTCAGCGCAGTTACTGCTCTGACTCACCTGCCTTAAGAGTAATTTTTAATTTGGACTCTCTAATTTTTACTGTTGGTCTAATGTTGGGGTACTGGAGCTTTTATGCCCTTTTTCTCGCTCGGATCAAGTCGTTTCAATAAAACGGCGCCCTTTCGGAGGAGCTGCCAGCCGTTTTCATCGTAAACATCCAGACATTTCCATACAGAGTGTAGTCTGTGTACACCGGGGGCTGTACAATTAATCGCACAATAATCATGATTATAATTTTCCTTCCTCAATTAATTAAGCCTGATTGGATGCAATATTGACGCACGGTATTGACTGGCACATCACATCAAGGCCTCCTTATTCCTGCAAACCAATCAGAGCGGCTGTTAAGAGATTCCCGTTTAAGCGAGATTATTCTCTGCAGAGCTAAAAAAAAAAAAAAAACTTCATTCGTCTCCGAAACCGTCATAAATAACGCCGATATTTGTGGGGGAAAATAATCAGACCTGTGCAGTCGCAATAAAGCGGATGATTGTTTAGGCTTCCGTACCGAATCAGAGGTATTTATGATTTATCTCCTGCATGCAAAAATCGACTTCTATCGACTTTGCCCTTGAAAACGAATGTCAGACGTGTTTGTTTCCTGTATTCCTGCAGTTAAGTCCCCCTCTCAACCATGAGGTTTTGGATCACCGGTCTGCTGGGATGATGATGTGTCCTCTAGTTATTGTTTCGCTTCCTTGCCTCGCCACTTAATGGGACCAATTAAAGTCATTAATGGGACGGAGGGTCATCCCATCTCCTTTGCCGAGGAATATTTTACGCAGGGTTTGGGGTGTGTGAAGGGTAAACGCAATCAGCGGCAAATTTACATTCACAGAGGATAAGGCTTATCGGGCCTAATCACCCTACAGCCAGTGTGAAAGTATGAAAAACCTGCGCCGTGTTTATAGCGCGACGGCAGATAACCTTGGAAGCCGAGGGAGTCGCCGAGGAAGGGATCTCTTTGTTTCTAGAAAAAGAAATTGGACTCGAGAGAGGGGTTGAAGCACACACACACACAAAAAAAGAAAAGAGGCCGGTGATGTTTCTATTTATCAGCAGTTAGGTTTTGTTGTGCTCGTGTGTTACCCAACCTCGAGGATGACTTTTATGAAATGGCAAGCGAGATAGCAGAGGGGGAGGCGTCATTAGGACGGCAGACAGCGGCGGTGCCCATTAAACAGTAGGGCAGTCCGTCGTCACGCAGTGAAAGTTAAAGAGAAAGGTCAGAAAACACAATGAAAAACAGGCATGTGGGGCCCGCTTGATGCTTTATGACAGCACAAGCACCTGCGAGTCACTTCAGACGGCGAAAGGGGGAGAAATTAGCTCTTTTTGAGGATGGAGCACAAAGGAAGGTGGAGATATTTCACACCTAATTGTGTCTTCTTTCCCCCTCTTTCCAACAGCAATCTGAGGAGAACTTCAACCCCAACTGTTCGTTCTGGAGCTACTCCAAGCGAACCATGACGGGCTTCTGGTCGACGCAGGACTGCCGCTTGCTGGGAACCAACCGGACCCACACCACGTGCTCCTGCACACACCTCACCAATTTCGCCGTCCTCATGGCCCACGTGGACGTCAAGGTGGGCCTTTTATCCTCCAACCTGTCGAAAAAAGTGCATTGATTCATCGTATTCATGCACAACCAGACCATTACGTGACGAGGCGCTGGCGAGGAGAGATGAAGGAAGTGTGAATCTGTGAAATAGGCCGATGACAACAATGCGTGAGTGTATATTGATTGCACGTTAAACCTCCTATGAAGTCGTCTGGCCGTAAGACCGGCTGTTTTGTGCGCGCAGCTGTTTCAGTGCAGCAGCAGCAGCAGCACAATGCTTTCAGAAATACTTTTACTTGGGTTTTCATAAATGCTGATTTGTTTCGGCCTTCAAACCTTTTGTGAAACTCGATGAATGGGCATTTGTTGATCAGCGCTAAAGAAATGCGTCTCTGCCCGTCCTTGTGCCGTCTCTCTTTGAACTGTACTTTGTTGTGGCGCGCAGGAGAGTTTGGAAGATTCAATTTTGGATCTTATTCAGGAGGCAATTAGCTTAGCATAAAGGGAAAAAAAAAAACAGCTCTGGGCAGAAGTGGCCGCCGAGTTAACCCCTAAAAAACCCATCCATGTGGAGGAAAAGTTGCACGTTTAGGTTTTTATTTTCTCTTGAAAATAAGTCTTTTGCTGCAGCTGGAGCACACCGGCTCACCTGCAGCTCTGTCCGAAGGCTGTAAAGCTGCTCTGTGCTGCACATTTGTAGTATTTGAGTAAGTTGGGCTCAGATGTTCAACCTGGGAACTGATTTTGGAAACCTCACCTTGCAATCTGTCGGTTTGTTACATCTGAAAGTCTGAATTCGCGTCCACGTCGATGCATTTGAAAGGTATGAATGCTCATGATATGTCTTCTAGCAAATAGAAAACACCATGTGGACCATTTAGTTTGTTTAACAATAAGTTCTTCAATGTCTGATATCGCCGTCTTATTTTGTGAACGAACGTTGTCGTTGCGATGGTGAGTTGAGGAGACAGATTAGCAGTCAGGTGTTTATTTTCTCGTGAAAATAAACCTTTTGCTGCAGCTGGAGCACACCAGCTCACCGACAACTCTGTTCTAAGACTGTAGAGCTGCTCTGTGCTGCACATTTGTAGTATTTGAGTAAGTTGGGCGCACATGTTCAACCTGGAAGCTGATTTTGGAAACCTCACCTTGCAATCTGTCAGTTTGTTACGTCTGAAAGTCCAAATTCATGTTCGCGTCGATGCATTTGAAAGGCAGGAATGCTCATGATATGTCTTCTAGCAAATAGAAAACACCATGTGGACCAATTAGCTTCTTAACCCTATTCCGGACTTTCATGTTTCCGTACATAGAAGGTCTTTCGGAGTCTGTTGGACCCCAAGAAAGAATACGTGCAAAATATTTGTTGGTATTCATTGTAGACTTTCATACTACGTTAAATAAATTTTCGGATAAGTTGACGTATTTTTGATTCCAAATGCGTGACAAAAAAATCCTGAAAACTAAAAAAACAATATTTGTCACCTAAATCAAATGACCCGGGGTCCAAAAGTCCCGAATAGGGTTAAACAATGAGTTCTTGTCTCGCCTGGTTTTTGCGGCGTGTTGTGGTGAATGAACGTTGGAAGGTGCGATGGCGAGTTGAGGATAGCGATTAGCAGTGAGATGCTAATGGAAAGAAGAGTTGAAGTTAAAATAAATATGTATATATTTGGCGTGGAGAGATTTCTGCTTTCAAGAGGGACAAAGAAAAGTTCGGGAAGTCGTCCCGATGTGGACAGGCGGCTTAATTATTCCCGTCAATGGACGACTGGGCGGTTTTTGGGTATCTGTCGTGGCATCTGTCTCTCTTCTGTATCAGTGGAAGCAAAAAAAACCAAAACAAACTCCCAGCTGGCCCGTCTCCATGAATCCACTGGACCTTCCATCACCTCCTCACTCTTGTTTTCTTCGTCTCTGCACAACACTCGATTGCGAAAACAAACGTCCATGCACGAAATCTGAAAAAATTCCGGACGCGGGGACGGCGTGGTTTTACCCGCGGCCGCTGTTTGTCGCTCAGCAGCGTGACTTTTGGACCCGCTAAGCTCCCCGCCGGGTCCAAGCTGAGTCTGGAATAGAGAGAGAGCCGCGAAGAATGGGAGCCTTCACGCAATGAAAGCAAAGCAGCAGCCCGAAGACGAAGGGAGGAAAAAAAAAAAAAAAGAAAAGGAAGCGGTAAAAGGAGCCCTTTCAGTCGAGCCGATGCGTAACATTTTGGAAAGCCCGGCTCGCTTGTGGCGCTGCATTGAGCGGAGGAAAGTGGACAGTAGTTACACCCCACTTCTGAGCGATAGTGTTTTTTCACCTCGCCTTATTCTTTATCTTTTTCCACTTGGAGGTTATGAAAGGCGGCTTTTATTCCTTTTTTTTTTTTTTGGAAAGGTACTCCTGAATGGGAGCTATGGAGGCTTTTTATTTGACAAACTGTCATCGCGTTGGATCTGAGAGGAGTCGGCGGGGGGAAAAGTGGGAGTCGGAGAAAGAAAATTTCATAAAGCGAGTAGACTATCTGTTTTCGTATCCATGGCAACAGAGCATACCACCGCTCGTCTCTGCCTTGTTATTACTCATTACCCCTCAGAGCAACAGATTATGTTTTAGCCTTGTTTATTTCTCGGTAGCATCTCCGAAAGACAGGAAAGAAAAAAAAAAAAAAAACACAGCAGATAGGCAAGTTGTAATTACAATTTTCCCTTTCAAGGACGGAGCCTCACTACAGTATCGCCATCATCATTAATCTTTTTTCTTTTCTAGCCAATAGATAACATGAGCTGGGAATAATGAGCGTTATATTCAGAGATCATTAATAAACTTTCGTCTGCATCCGTTTCTGGAGATTCGGCAGCGTCGTTCTGATGTCGTCGTGTCCTTGACGGAAATCAGAAAGTTGGTTTCGGATGCTTGAATTTAAATTCAAAATGTTTTTCGTGTTGACTCGTTCTTTCTTTAAAGCTCTCATCTGTGACAACTCTGAGGCCAAACATTCGACAT